CCCCCCCCCCCCCCTTATTACCAGGCAATCATGCAAAATTCGCAACAATTTATCCAGAATCAGCCCCGTCCCGGGACACCCCACTATCACCCCCCCACCGGGACACCCTCCACTGTCCCTGCTCAACTGACTTTGTAATTCCATCATATTATTTAGTGCAATGATAGACTCACAATGAGGAAGAAACATCCACACTTTTCTTAGTGTCACTCGACTGTGTGGTTCATTCCCCCCCCCCCCCCCCTTTCCTGGAGTAACCTACCTGAAGTCCTCTCTGTTGCCCATGTCCCATGCAGTCGGATGGCATACCACCATCCTGCCATCATCGGGCTTCACAAACATTGAGTTTTCCCAGAAGTTTGGAAGCATCTGGTACAAATTTACAGACATGAAGAACTTTTCCGCTTCTTTGAACAATCTATCCACTGTCCAGGCCTGGAATTGTAAGGAAACGGTTTTATTAAACTCCTCTCACCAGAATTTCTGCAATAAGGTACTGCCATATTGATGCAGTGGCCATGAATTGCTTAATTTTTTTGCTTTCCTAAACATTCTAATATTTTGTCTTTCTCCATTTTTATATTTATTCATTTAGCAGATGCTGTTCTTTTGTTTTTTTGTGGTGTTTGTTGTGTTTTTCACTTCCAGGCCATGATATATTAATGGTCAGATTCAGTGAAAATGAAATATATGTAAATCGTACATTTTAGTAAACTGATTGCAGGTTAAGTTAAATTAGATGACAGTAATAATAGTGGCATAGTGACTTAAAACCTTAGGATGTCATGGGTTTACAGGCTTATAGGCCTGGAGCTTGGATGTTTTCTGTGTGATTGTATGGATTTCAGCTCTGTACTCTGCCTTTCTTCTCGTAAATCCCCGGAATAGAGTATAAGTGAAATGATTTCTCAAATTAGGGATGTTTTTCAATATGCACACTTGACCGTACTTGTGTTCTCGTGCACCTGTTTTACATCATCATACATTGACGAAGACCACTTCCAATACTAACAACAGAAGTACAGAGGACAGAAAACATCCCCAGATGTCGTTTTTGCCCCGCCCCAAATGTCAAGGATACATTGTTGCATCCTCGCCAGACGAGACCAATCCCATGATTCATTGTAGCGCAAGATAGGAAAACTGGTCTCACCAAGACCACAAGTACGATCTTTCCATTGTCGGTACTGGGAAACACCCTGTGTCCCAGATTCACTGCCACCATAGAGTGGATTCGCAGTTATGATAAATATAGATATATGGATAGATGCATGACTACGAATCACGTGACATCACACACCTGACTGATCATAGCCGAAGTCACGTCAATATCTGGTTTGTCGGGGTAAGGGACAGAGAGAGGATAAAGGTTTGTCCAAAACCTTCCCCACATGTCACCTGGTTAATGATCATGAAAACACACAAAAATATGTTAAAATGGTACAAGTTCACGCATCAAGAAGGGATGCATATGTTAAATGATGAAAGCTAATACAGAGGCGTCTCTATTTCAGTACTTCCCGTTTTTATAGACCTACCTAGAAGATGGGCAGGCAGTCCTCCCGCCTCGCTGATGTGCCCAGGGTACGTCAAATGTAGTTTGCTTCTCACGTAGGCGTGAAGTTCTTTGTACAGCGGCATGATCTGGATAGATACGAAGCAGAAGTGGCTAAACCAGAATTTGGGGAGAGAATCCCGGTCGTTTCAGGACAGGCTAGCAGCCTGCTGCTTTGGTGTAACGAAAGGGATGAGAGGACGTTAAAACCGTACCTCCTGGTATATGCGGCGAACGTCTGACATGAGTTCATCGCGGGTGTAGCTGTACTTGCCGTCGTCAGTGGTCTCATAGTTACCTCTCCAGTAGTCCCCATAGTCAGCATAACCTTTGGTTTTTTAAAAAAAGACATGCAGTTGTATAAAAATGTAGTCGTATAAGAAGATTTTCCAATTTTTATGTTTAAATGCATTTTTCTGTATTAGGTCTTACATCCATGTCTCAACATGTCAGGTTTGAATGTCTGACATATTTAAATGATATTTATTACTGCTTCTTGCATTATGATCAACGAGATCAAAATTTCATCTTTCTGCGTGACCCATGCATCATATAGCTGAAGACAACAACAAAGATACTTTGACGTGATTTGAACGTCACTGCATGGCTTAGCTGTTGATTACTGACACATGTAAACTAAAATCTAACGCCCAGACAAATTGCTGGAAGTAGTGGCACAGAGCTCAGCCGCACCGTTAAGTTTTGCAGCTTCGTCCTTCAGCTCCACATAGTCCTCGTAGAGTGGCCTCATCTTCTTTCCCACCTCGACCCTCCAGCCCTCCCACACGTGCAGCCTCTGGTAGTAATCTGTGCTCTGAGCCATGACGCTCTCCAGTCCTGCGAAACAGCAGCAAGGTGCCATTACACTGAAGGGGCATGGATACCCATGCAGATTCAGGGGGCTCAGCAATTTACAGGGGCCCCAAATCCTGCCCCCGTCCCCCGTCCCCCAACACCTACTCAGCAGTATCTACCAAAGGGGACTCATAAAATTCCAACCCAAACAGGGGGCCCAAGGTGACATTTTGTTATGGGGCCCAGAATTTATAGCAAAGCCCTTGATCTTTACATTGTACTTTTGTTACTTGTAACCATGCCTAGATACTTAAACTCAACTGAAATCCCCCATAATCGCCTAAGAATATGAGGTAAGAGCAGCCGGCCATACCTGGTTCTAGGGTCTGACAGTCGAAGGGATTGTCAAGCTTACACACCGTGCCTGTGCTGTAAATGGTGCTCATTTCATTCATGACTTTGTTGAGCTGTGAAAGTTAAACAGACACAGTTACCGAATGTTCAAATCACAGACGTTCGCAAGCGTGAACCGAAAACCTCACGCTTATGCCACTGCAGAACTCACACGGTCCAGTTTGTCCTTCGTGAGGGCCCCTGATCCTTTGTCCTGAAGTGCCATCAGTTGCACTTTTATGGTCGGGTCAGTGATTTCATTAAGTGGGAAGGTGAGCGATTCCTCTGACGCCTGACTATAGTAGGACCCCCAAATCTCCCCCTGCTGGGACTGAGAATGGGGAACAGGGGCACGTTGAAATGCAGGTTAAATCATTTCACACAGCAAATTGGACATTCAGCATCAGACTTAAAGAATCTGCCTTGATTGGTTCGAATACAGCACTGTGTGTGTGTGTGTGTGTGTGTGTGTGTGAGACAGAGAGAGAGAGCATGTGATGGACTTGCATCATGTCCAGAGTGTAACGTGACCTATGTTTCTTAGGATAGGTTCCAGCTCACTGTAATTCTGTCAGATAAGCAGCATTTGAAAACATATGTGTTATATAAAGGATGCTTTATTTGGCCAGAAGAGGGCAGAGTGGTTAATTACATATTACATGCTGCAGTACCCCTGGAACTCATACAGGAATTGCTCCAGTACACTCCGTTTACATAAACACATTTAGAAATAATTTGAATTAATTCAACACAGAAGTCCGATTTTTTATCATAAACCTTACATCTATGTCCATCAATCCATTTTCTACATTCATTCATTCATTGTGTCCAATTTAATCTAATTATGTAATGCAAATGTTTTATATTTATAACTTCTGGTTAATACAAAGCTTAATGCTCAGTGCTTATTAGTTTTTCTTTTAATGTTATAATAAATGTCAAAGAAGATAATCACATTTACTGAAGTGAGATTTCACTTTTATTACTATTACAAGAATTCTCACGATAACATGATATGGACTTGGATTAAGTATAAGGTTCTTATGGGTTAGCTATATCCATCCATCCATCCTCTGTCACTGTGCAAGTATCCTTGCAGTGAGGTTAGGTATATGGTCTTAATATATGTAGCACTTACCAGTTTGTCAGCGTTCTCACTGGTAATGTTTGTATTGTAAGCCCACGATGCCAGTGAATGCTGGTACATCAGTTGGGTGGCATTTTCATCAAAGCGCTTCAGGAACTCGACTGCCCGCTGCTCTACATCCGACTGACCGCGGGCCACCCAGACCCCAGCCAGAAGCAGGAGAAGAGCGGCATGCATCCTGTCTCCAAAGACTGTCCACACAGCAACTGCGAAGGAGAAATATTTCTCATAGCAATTGGTACATTACCCCGGCCTTTGGACAGAGCTGTAATTGGAATACACACCCACATCTTTATTGCTGTGTCATATACTTTAAAAAAATCATACCCCAAACCCACCAATTACTAATAAAAAAAAGCTCTGTGCATGTTGAGTCTATATTTTATAATATGGATTTCGTATTATGTGAAAAATTGGAATTTAGACATTAATGTTACACCCTCTTGTACACAGCTCCTTTGTTGTAGTGACTCCTGTCCTTCCTGGGGCTCCTCTCTGTATCTCCTGATTCAGAAAAATACAGTCCAGTATATTTACATAGCTGTATAAATACTTCAGTTTAGTGGAATGATGGTTCTTGAATATATCACAGGCTGAGGTGGGAAGTTCAAGTTCAGGAAGTAAAAATCCAGACCAAGATTTTGTTTCAACCAACCAGTTGAGTACTATGTAAATGTGACTCTTTATGCTCAGCTTGTTGGTTGAGACAAAACCTTGGTCTGGACTTGTATGCTGGATGTTTAACCTGCTCCTGCCTCGTTGCATGTAAAATCCCTCAGTGTCCCACCTTGACTTATACCTCTGATACAGTCTGTGGTGTCGCCCAGCTACTGCGGTTCCCCGTTGGCGGTTCCCTATTGGTGGTTCCCTGTTGGTGGTTCCTTATTGGCGGTTCCCTGTTGATGGATCTGTGCCATCAGATACCTGGTCATGTATCCAGAAGCCTGGAACCTGCTATAAAGCTTCCAATTGGACAGCACTGTCTTGCCTAAAACACTTCAGCAAGGTTCCCTCAGCACAATAAGGTGAGTACAGCCCTCATACTTGCAAGTTGATTAGTTAAAAGGAATAAACACACAAATAACTGATAATTTAAGCCACATGTTTCAGTCAAGATGGTGAATATTAAGAACAATCTATGAGTCCCAGATCTGACAAATTTAGTTATAATGCGACAAATCTTTATTAATGATTTTGGTGAGTTCTCCATCATATTTTATATACATAGTATATTATCAGTGAATATTAAATTATTATCTGCATCATGTTCTTTTTGTTTTCATGGTTGTATTAGGTCTCTTTAGGCCTAAGAGTACAGTGGCAGTACAGAGGAATGAGGAAGTGTGCTGGTCTTATACTTTATGATGTACAGCAGTACTTTGGACCTGTTCTCCTCGAGGGTGTTTTCTCCTGACAAAGAAGGTTTCCTGTCACGTTTAGATTTTTTTTCAAGCTTAATAAATAATCAATTTCTTTGCCAGGAATCTACTTTTCTTCCCCTCAAAGTTCTGTGATCAGAGTATATTGTAAATTTCTGTCTATTCCTAAAATTACAGCTTATGTTACTCTGGGCCCAGTTGTTCAAAAGTAATCTGGTCTGATTTTGGCTATCAGATTGGAACAAATCTTGAAAATTGGTTGTTCAAAAGAAAAAAGAAAGGATTCTGAAATCGGATTAGATAAGTGGCCTGTATAACAAAGCGGGGTTACTGGCTTATCGGGGTAACTTGTCGGATTTAAGGTACCACAGTTTAAATGGACTTCATATTCGTTCACTTACATTTTGCCCAGACTACCTTAAATCCGACAAGTTACCCCGATAAGCCAATAACCCCGCTTCGTAGTACAGGCCCCAGGTAATCCAGTCTTGGTTTTGAAACCTTTGAGTAAGTCTTCAAGAATTTTTAGTAGGATTAGGAATGCTTTGATCCAAAAAAACCCCCCAAAAAAATCAGGATTACTCTGATCCCAGCAGAAGGGTGGATTCAGGGTGTATTTCAGTAACAAAATGAAATAAAACTTTAAAGATGGTCAAAAAAATGTAACATTTGTAAAATGTAAAATACACATTTATGTATGTTTTGCACTTGAACCATTACAGTGTAATAAGCAGACATGAGGCTACTCATTAAGCCTTCTAATACACTAAAGTTTTTAAAGTAACATTTTATCTCCATAAAATAATCCCCCAAACTGTCAGTATCAAACAAAATGATGTATTTCATTTTAACTGTCATTAATCACTGTATACTAATTACAAAGGAACAATCATCAGAAATGAGTCAAACAAAAGTCGTTTCTAATGATTACATTCCTTATTTTATTTAGCTATTAAATATTTAGCCTTTTTATGATTTAAAACACATATTCAAAATATTCACATTTTCAAAATATTTGTGAATAATGTATATTTGTTCTTTATTTGTTGCTCATCCGATGAGGGGTCTGACTGTTTAAAAGAAATTTCTGTGGAAAAACAGAAGGGGGTGTTTTCAGTATTTTCTTGTGCTATTGTCTGTCTCTTTAAATAACAACACTTAAAGTGACACTATGCTGGCTATTCTACCTGTTATTCTTTACATAGCTAGTTACTTTCATTGTGATATGTCGTCCCATTTACAACACTGGTATGCCAGATTTGGTAATATTGAAAAGTTTGTATCTGGATCAAGGTGATCTAATTCAATGTTGCTTTGAATGACTGGCAAGAAGGATTTCTTGATCCTGAAAACATGGAAACTCCAAACTGGGATCATTCTGATCCATATGAAACTTTCTGAACAGCTGGGCCTTGGTTTCAGTGTAATGCTAGGCTTATGGCTGTAGATAGGTGTTTCTTATCGCATATGATTTTGGTGCCATATCTTTACAAGACAGTATATGAGAAGGACTTGAAGGCTGTGTACTTTGTGTGCCAAGGGTTATATAAAGGACACTTTAATCAATGGGCGGTGCTTCCCTAAGCAGTCTGATGTTTCACCATCCAGAGCTTCGTGATTCAATACGCACAAAACTATTGTAGCCCAATCAGTGTGGGGATATGTGATTTACAAACAACAAGGACACAGATTTCTATACAAAGTAACACACATCTCCCATTCATTAGTAGCAGCCTAACTGGCAGCGGTACAGACAAGGAAAGCCAACATTTTACACAATAAGCACATTCATGGTAACCACTCCACAATTAACAGCACAACACATTACAAAAAAGCATCACATTCAGCACTTACAACACAACGAGGCAACACTCACTGTCAACAACATAAACACACATTAATTTACAAAATTATTAACAGTACAGTGCCAGGCATGACATATGAGAATGATTTACGTCTGTATTGCCGGCCCTGTGGCATCACATTACAGTCATGCAACAGTGGGTTGACAAAGGAAATTCATTAAATCATTTGTTTGAGTTACTGTAAGCCTGGAGCCCATCTTCAGAGGCGTATATGAAGCATTGGAAGTCCTGGATGGCCACACATCCACACACTAAGGTGAATTTATCTGACTTCGTGTTCTTAGACTGTTGGAAGAATCTGAAGTACCCAGAGAAAAATTCTACACAGACCCAGGGCAAGTAAACCCAGAAGCCTGGAGCTGTGAGGCCACTGTGCTACTGCAATGAACTGTCATTCTTCCAGAGCCATCAAATATACATCGTAATTAAATGCTACAGGTGCCGTAGTTTTACTGACAACTGTCAGGATTTATCATAATGTTATATCATCTGAAAACCTTTCTCATTTTCCGTAAAAGCCAGCGAAGGCCATCAATGCCTCTGTTTGTTTCTACAGCTGAATGACTTCTCGTCTGTCACTACAGATTAGAACCTGCCTCATCCTCCAAAATTAAGATACAGAGAGAAGGTTACAGTGTCTCAATGAACCGAAAACTTTGGGTGAGCGACTCGTCTTGCAAAGACAGCAATATTGAGTAGTTGCGTAGTAGCCGTGAACCACATACTCTTTGTACTGTTGGGAGTTCAGTATTGCATAATCATCGCATGAACTAAGTATTTATACTGTATCTCTCCAACCCTTTAAATAATAAACTTGTTTTATTTTATAATGTTGTCTTATACATCTATTAGTTCTGGCAATATACTTTTATATATTGCTGATCTGCTTACTCATTTGTAAGTGAATTATTGGCGCAGCGTCTCGTAGTACATTATAAATGCATTGCCTGAAATTATGATCGATGTACTCTTTGTCCTTGTATTACTGTCAGGAGGCGAATTCATAATTATGAATTATTACGAATGCACATTATTGTCCCTTTTTGTTAAGAAACAACATTCATTCAAAATGCTAAGTATTACCAAGCATTATATCATGTTATTTGTGTCGAAACTGCATTGTCAAGACGTAATGCAGTACATAACATCTTCGAAGAGCAAAGTTCCTTTTAGTGACACAAGATGGCAGCAAATCTGCTAATTGTATCCTGAAGCACATTAATATTTCATCTATCATCCATATTCCATAACTTGTCCAGTACAGGGAGTATTTATCCATCAGAAATGTATTTTTAGGCATGTAATAGACATCGGGATTGCTGAGGGACGGCATGTAGGGCAGTACTGTATCCTCACACGTCCCTGCTTTTGGTCCTTTGCACCAGACTCACTGTGACCCTGTCTCGGATACGCCATTGTCAAAGACTGATGGTATACTTAGAGTAACTCTGTTGCAGATTATAGTCCTAAAATATACTTTAAATATTTAAGGGATCGTTAAGAAGTAGTCTGAAATTAGCACTGAAATCTAAGCATAGCTAATTACTGTCAACTAAATTGGTATCTACATTTTCATTTTTTTCGATCATAAATAAAATGTCAGATTTCATATTTGATACAAGAATATGATATTTCGACATATATACGGCAATTTTAATATACTTAAAACAAACAACCGAAAAAGAAACAATAGGTCTGCTTTATGTGGATTCGATTTGGAAATTACGATTAATATTTATCCCTAGTGCCAGCAGTTTCTTTGCTTATAGCGACTCCTAGCGTCTGCTCGTGGTAACGCGCGCTGCGTGCGCTGTACCGCAGAGTCATGCTCAGCTGTGTATTCCCGCCCCCTCGACGTGAAAACCCGTCTTTCCTTCGTCTTGGCAAGTGCTGGAGGAATGCGAAGCGGTGTCTCCCCCCCTGTTTCCTAATGTGACTGTCCGGGGATGGAGCAGAGCCCTGACGCGGCTGCGGGAAGGGGCTTCATATCCCTGAGCGAAGGCGAACAAAGATGTTACTCAGGTCTGTGCTCTCTGTGCCAAGCTGACAGCTCCGGGAAACTACAGGCGAGCAGAGTGGCGGAGCTGCTGAGAGCATCCCAGCTGCCCGCGGAGACCCTGCATCAGGTGAGTTTCCACCTTGCAGGCAGGGGGCTGTTCCGTCCATTCAGTGGCCTTTTAAATGTCTTCTAATTCTCTCTGATGCCAAGTCCGGGCTGACCTGCAATTCGTGTTTAGACATCCCGCATAATTGTAACTAGTTTACACCGTGTTGCTTTAAATTGTCTTTGTTAATTATTAATGTGTGATTCAAAGCAGACTAATTCACACAGGACTCGTTCTGAGTAAGCAGGTGTTTGTGCGAAGGTGCTTAAACTGCGGTCGCGCTGTTTTTCTCGGTCTTTTAGAAACTTGCAGGAAATATACATGCGATCGTTTTATAACCCTGCACACTTCAGCAGAATTTTATTTAATTTTAATAGATAATAATAACAGGCAGTAAGTTCAGTGTGATGTTCCATGTTTGCATATACAGAGTTTCGGGTATGTGTGACCTTTGGAAACGTGGAAACCCGCCGAACTAGTAAAACCAGGACCAATTCCTCTGTATGAACCTCTCAGAGATCGCGGTTAAACTCAGTCGTTTTAATATACATCTGTGTGCTAACATTTAAAGTGTAAAATGTAGGTGTAGCCGCCTTTTATTTAGTATTCGTTCCCTTGCATAGTCTATAAACTCCTGGATGCTGCCTGATACCTACTGTTGAGATAAAAGACCGTCAAAAGGGGGGGGGGGGTCCTCATCGTGAACGGCGAGGCTGTGCGCAGTCGGTGAAAGTGGCCTTAGCATAAAGGACTGTTCTGTAACACGTCTTAAGGCGTGTGAATACTACGAAGTGTTCCTTTTGTGATTTAAAAAATGTATGTTAGGGATGGTGACTTTGGGGGTCTCACACCTTCAGGGTGTGTTTGTGTGTGGAGTTTGCTGCTCTCTCCGTGTTGTATAGGTTTCCTTTTGGTGCTCCAGTTCCTTCCTACTGTGTAAAGAAGTGCAGTTAGGTGAATGAGTGAGTGCTTGTAGTGTGTGTGCGTGCGCGCGTGCGTCTGTGTGGTCACTTATATATTACATTGTGGGGACCAGATTTCTGTACCTGCTTATGCCATTCAGGGCCGCAGGGGCTCTGGAGCCTGACCTGGAGCCTGTGGGAACAACCCAGGATGGGGGTGTCGATAGGGGAATCTTAGTTTTATAAAAATTGTATTTTGTTTGGTTACTTATGGCTAAGGTTAGGGCTGGGTAGGGGCTAAGGCTGTCATTGTTGGTTTTAAGGTTTTTCCCAAACAAATGAATGGACGGTCCCCACAAAGATGAATACAAATGTGCATGTGCGTGCATATCTGTGTGTGTTTGTGTGTGTGTCTGTCATCCAAGGGGTACCCTTGCCTTCCCTCTCTGCTGCCTGGAATGGACTGCAGCTCCTCTCCATGACCACATACTGGATGAGTGGTTAGAAGATGAATGTATGGATGAATGATCTGGCACAGAGAGCTTGTATGATTGGGTGATTTGTCTAAATACTGAGAAGCATAATATTTGTGTTATATTGCACTTAATTGAGATATATACATTGCTGCTGACCAGTACTGAAATATATTAATAGGATTGCCTTCTTTGCTAGTTCCTGGGTGGGATTCACACTGTATGTACTGTTGGTTTTTGAAAACAGCTCCAGTAAAACAAATGAAAAAGCCTCCTTTTCCAGTTTTATGGTATTTGTAGGCCTTCTAGTGTTGTCTTTCTTCTCACTCTGACATAACACTGAAAGCATGAAAAAGCAGAGCTTCATAATAAACATCCCGCATAATCGTAACTAGCTGCACCTCTATGAAGGAGGTTATCAGCAGGAGTTTAAGGGCTCTGTGCTGCGTAAGGCTGGGGTGTACGGTATACCCTCGATGGAACGCCGCTCCACAACAGCGCAGTCATTCACACACTATGGGCAGTTTAGAGACAGGAATTAGCCTGACTGCACATGGGAGGAATCCAGAGAAGCTGGAAGAAACACGAGTGAGGGAGTAGATGGAAACTTCCGACACAGAGCACAGGTGCCGCTCAAACTCTCAGCCCCCGAGGAGTGCGGCAGCAATACCACCCAATCCAAGTAGGGGTTCCCAACCAGAACTGCTCCACAGCCGGTGTCCTGTCAGACCACGGAACCATCCGTGTTCCGTGGGGGTTTGTGGAGGGGGTGGTTCATTTCCAAAAATAAACCATGTATTTGGATTTTATCTACAACCCCTTACCTGTGTGTTCCATTCATACCTAAAAGAACGAAAATGGTTAAACTTATGAAAATGCCGATCGGTCCACTGGTGCCCCCCACCCTAGGGTTATTTTGCTACCCCGTGATATTTGTTTACAAGGTAAGTCAGACTGTGAACATCAAAATGTTGGTAACATCTCCTTAATGCATAATGTGAATGAATAAATAATATAGTTTTCTAAAGAGGAAGTAAGGAGCCATTTTGGATATGGTTATTATTACGTGCGTTCCTGGTTACTGCACATAAAGAAGTATGAACATTCTGGTTTGTCTTCATAAATAAACACGGTTTCTCTGTGAGATTCTGTGTCTATTTGTGGTGTGAGAATCATGTTTTGACACATAGCTCAGTCACAAAGTCATTGTCGCTGAATGTTGTCTTTTTTTCCATTTCCAAGAATAGAATGACATTCGGTAAACAGTGAACGTATCTTTTGCTGATGTAATTGCTGAGATAATTAGTGCTGAATTGTCGTTACATATGTCATTGTTCTGGCTCGTGTGTCATTCATCAAACAATTTCTATGCCCTAATAGATTCACAGCTGTCCCGGTAGCCCTGCACGCGGCCTTCCTGCCAACATGATCCTCCTTAAATGAATAACGTTCTAAAGATGTAGATCTGACTGGGGTCCAAGCAGACATAGAGCTGCTGTTTGTCTCTGACAGCTGCCTGGACACGCTGAATCGGCAGCTTTCAGGAAGACTTCTACCTATCCGGGGGGGGGGGGGCACTTACTGACAGGCAACAGTCAGCGAATAAACTTCTCCTAAACCTGTAATTATTACATATATATGATTAAATACTGATTCAGTAGCTTATTTTAATCACAATTTGCATGGTGGGAAGTGAGATTAACAGGACCAATACTACTACTACTACTACTACTACTACTACTACTACTACTACTACTACTACTACTACTACTAATAATAATAATAATAAGACAAAAAAGTAGAAGTTTTGAAACACCAGTGTACGTCAACATACTGCCATCTTGGATGTTCCCCTGACTTGTGCCCTGTGCTGCCTGGGGTAGGTAGGCTGTAGGCTCCTTACTGGGATAAGAAGGTGGATGGATGGATGGATGGATGGATGTTTTTTTGTATGGGTGAATAAGGATGTAATGGATTTTCATTCATTCCGTGTGGCAGGTTAAGTGTTGGGAAGCAAGTGACTTCATGAAATAAATGCAAATGTTTGGATTAAGCTGAATGGGCTTCCTTCTAGAACACGCACACTGAGCCATTCTCACCCAAGTGAGTGAGTGAATGAATGAATGTTTTTTTTTTTCATTCACAACTTCGGACACACACACACACACACACACGCACACAAAATAAATGGGTCTTTCACTGAGGCCATTTTCTGAGGAAGTCAGCAGACAGCCTTGCTCTTTGTGGGAGGTGCCTCTCTGTGCCAGAAGCGCGATGAGGACACTGCTGGAGGTTTGCCAGCATCATCATTACAAACTAATTAATAGATCAATATATCTCCATGCCATCTTAAATATTGAATATAATTGAAATATTGCAGCTTCCTCAAGTTTGGTGCCGTCTGTTTACTCGAACACATCAGTAAAAAATGGCGCTAAATGAAGCTGTATCACGTGCCCATGAACTTCGCACATGAAGTGAGGTTGACGGAATGGCGTGAGCAGGAGGCGCTGTGGTGAGCCATCTCCAGGGTTGATGAAGTCCTCTTCTGCTGGCTGGGAGGTGCATCTTCTTTCTATGTTTTCTAATGTATATTCCAGCTTCATCCTACAGTCCTAAAGAGCTGAACTGGTGTAGTTAGGTGAACTGGTGTCTTTAAATATTGTGAGGACGTGTGTCCTGTCATGGGCTGGAATCCCTGTCCTGTGCCCTGTATGTCCTGGGATAGACAATAATTTTAAATGTAATTCAATAAATGTATACAAGCAAGGTTTTATTAAAAGGGCATTTTCTCTTTTTAAACACTGAAAGAAAGGCAAATGACTGTGAAGTGTGACCTCTTGTACTGTATGAAGTGTGACCTCTTGTACTGTATGAAGTGTGACCTCTTGTATTGTATGAAGTGTGACCTCTTGTACTGTATGAAGTGTAGTTATCACATTCCGTCGTGTTGACGACTGTTTCCATTGGGATGTAGTTGATTGCTTTATGTTAAATATTTATTTTGTAAACTGGCTTGAATTGCTGAGGCTGGAAGTAAAGTTTAAGTTTACAAGGACTTCCCTTCCTGGTCTTCTGATTTAAATGTAAATATTACATGACAACCGAACAAAAGGCATAGGGATCTAAGTATGTTTTGGTGGTTAGAAGGATTTAGGGTCGGTTTTCTCCTTTTGTGACTGAATGCTCTTGTGGTTTGGCGTCCCTGGAGGGGTCATGCTGGCGAACATCAGGATTGTTCTGGAATCCATGCCAGGGAAGTGGAAATAGAAGGATGTGGCGAGGAGGAGGATCATTGGTCACAGCTGATATGGGATCTTTCAGGAACTTGTTACGTTTCGGGATTTCAGCCTCACACACAGTTAAATAACAGTCCTTTGAGCTTTCATTATGAAGAGTGTTTCTTGTGGAGAAATCCTCTTACGTTGTAAGTAGGGTCAGTACCTCTGGCTGCCACAGGTGGAGTAGTATCTTTCAACGAACTGCGTTTAACTCAACAGAAACATTGTTTCCTCATAATAGGACACTCATGGCTTCTGAAGTAGAACCGGAATTTACAGTTCAATCAATGTTACATTGTTTTTTTTTCTAATATACCTCGTAGATCCAGATAAACCCCAGTGCCCTGAGAAATGGTCAACGGCAGTCTGTTTCTTTACAGCCATAATCCTTCATAATTCAGACCTTGTCCACACATTTTAGGAAATCGTTGAAGCTTCATAGAGGTGCACTGCTAGGACTGGCATTACAGGCTTCTACACGGCCAAGCATGATGCTTCAGTCTGTCTGATTAACCAGGCAGCTCCTGTATCCCAGTACTGATCCACACAAAGTTAACGAAGCCTCTGTTTTGAAAGGAGGAGATTGTTCGTGGATCAGGAAGGGATTTACGTCCAGAGTGTCTGTCCCAGCTGCCTGTAATTTAAGAGCTACGCACCGGAGGATCTCACATGTTACTTGTGTACAATAGGATGCATCATGTTCATGTAGGAGAGAAGGACACAATTATACTACACTATACCTCATGCCCCACCTAAACTGGAATATAGTTCACACATTATGTATCTTATTGCCTAGTATATAGTATGGATGTTAGCAGGTAAATGTTTTTAAGGGAAAGGCTAACTCAAGTTTAATAACAGCAGAACAAAAGTGCCTTGAAGAATATATTGGTCAAAACTAACCTTTTGTATGAGAATAAAACAGAAATCTGAACAGACATGGTCTTGATGTAAAAGTAGTTCTGTGGGTAGATGAGTGAAAGAAAGTCACTGCCAAGTCTGAAATCATCACTGAGGTTTCAGAAACTTCCATTTCCAACTCTGGTTGGTCATCTCAGGAGGGAGCAGGACGCTGATTGGTCCACCTAACAGGCTTGTCACTCGATGCTGACAGGACCGGCCGCCAGGCTTTTATCAGAAGCCAAATGCAGAAGTATCCTGCATGCACTGCAATACGACCACGCACAGCCGCGCACTGCGATGCTCATGATAAACAAACGTACAGGGTGGAGACTTCCCAGGGGCACTGGAAATTTAAAACTGCACGATGACGTTAGTGGTGCTGACATGTTGGCAGTTGTATGGTGCTGGTCTACTTAGTGTTGAGCTTGTTTCTCTACCCTGTGGGTCTTTGATGAAGAGTTTCTAATTTCAGGGTAGGTTCTGATTCTGTACCATCGACATTATTTCGTAAACCTCAGTTTCATGGAAGGCTAGAGCGTAGTCAGGACCATAAATATTTGGACACTGACAGAAGTTTTACTATTTTACCTGTTTACTGAAATATATTCCAATTGAAGTTATACAATGGGCATGGACATAAAGTGCAGACTCTCAGATTTTATTTTTGGATGTCCACATTCAAACTGGATGAAGGGTTTAGGAGTTTCAGCTCGTTAACATGTGCCACCCTCTTTTTAAGGGGGCCAAAAATAGTTGGACAATTCACTTAAAAGCTATTTCATGGACTGGTGTAGGCAATTCCTTCATTCTTTCATTATCAATTAAGCAGATAAAAGGCCTGGAGTTGATTTGAGGTGTCTTGTTTGCATTTGGAAGATGTGAACATACAACATCCACAGTTTGGTACATCCTGAGAAAGAAAGAAAGCATTGGTGAACTCAGCAACGCAAAAAGGCCTGGACATCCACGGACGACAACAGTGGTGGATGATCGCAGAATCATTTCCATGGTGAAGAGAAACCCCTTTGTAACAGCCAACCGAGTGAACAACACTCTCCAGGAGGTAGGCATATCAATGTCCAAGTCTAACATAAAGAGAAGACTGCATGAAAGCAAATACAGAGGGTTCACTGCAAGATGCAAGCCACTCATAAGCATTAAGGATAGAAAGGCTAGAATGGACTTTGCAAAAAAAACATCTAAAAAAGCCAGCACAGTTCTGGAACAGCATTCTTTGGACAGATGAAACCAAGATTAACCTGTATCAGAATGATAAGAATAAAGTATGGAGAAGGGCTGGAGCAGCTTATGATCCAAAGAACTCCACATCATCTGTAAAACATGCTGGAGGCAGTGTGATGGCTTGGGTGTGCATGGCTGCCAGTGGCTGCCAGTGGCTGCCAGTGGCTGCCAGTGGCTGCCAGTGGCTGCCAGTGGC